ATTCCTGTCCTTGATATTCATAATAATAGTTAGCACCACAAACAGGACAAATGCAGGATGCATTAGGTTTGCTGGCACTTGCTGCTCAGCCCAACAGAGGTCACTCTATGGCATCTATTGGCATCTTTCTTCTTCATAGAAGCCAGACCTTCCACCTTTGTCAGCTCTCCTGCAACTTTTTGACGTCTTCCACGATTTCCGCAAGTTGTTTTTAGAGTTGGAATAGGACTCAACTCTTCCAAAGTGATGCTGTTAGCTACGAATATTCAATAGTGACAATAGATGATCCATTTTCTGCTGTAACTTGGCCTAAGTTATTATAAGGAAGATGTTTGTGGAAGGAAAATAAACTCAAAGGGCATATAGAACGAGAGGATGGTCTGGGAGTAGATTTAGAAAGCATTAATTAATCAAATGTAGTACTCTGTCCATATTACCTTTAATCTTAGTGCCTTTATTTGCTATAGTGACATTATTCAATAGTTGGCATATTACTGCTGTTGAAGGGAGAAAGAACGAAACCACCTTCTCCCACCAATGGATATTACACTAACATAAGATTGCCGCATTTACAGCTTTCTTTTAAAATTGATAAAATTTGTGTGTTAAATCTAAAGTAAGATAACTAAAATATAACAACAACCATAGTTTGAAATATCAGGTTGTTGTCCTATATTAGAGATGATCTGTTTGCACTTCTGTTTGAATCGCAGGACAACACAAACAAATTCCACAATCGCTATTACACTTGAGCATTGCCAAGGCCTGAGGGCGAATGCACCACAAATCAAAACCATTACGTATAAAATGGGTATTTGCTTAAATGTGCTCACATTGCCCCTATTTGCAATGCCAAGTTTACCCTATATATATATATATATATATATATATATATATATAGGGTAAACTTGGTGTTGTATGTATGTATGTATATGTATATTTATATACACTGCTGGTAAAAAAAAGCAACACCAAGAAGGACCAGAGATATCACAGCGAAATTTATTTGGCAGACAACATATTGTACAAAGATCAAACGATTAAAATTACAGTATCTTGTGACGTGTGGACGATGACAAACAAAATCAGTGTTTAGTGTAGCCGCCATTGTTGGCTATAACTGCTACCACACGCTTCGGCATCGAATCAAAGAGGCTTTGGATGTATTCTTGGGATACACTTTAAGCTTCTACACACTGCCAAAGTTGATCTGGTGTTGCAGCGCGGGTGGTGTATCCCGGGCCAGTCGTTGTGCAGTCATGGACCGCACGTTTTCGATTGACGGTAGATCGGGAGAACAAGAAGGCCAAGGAAGCAATTCAATCTGAGGGGTGAAGAACTCTTGAACATTGCGTGCCACGTGTGGTCGTGAATTATACTGTTGGAATATGGTTGATGGCAAGCGCTGAATGTATGGGAGGACCACGGGCTTCAACATCTCAGAGATGTAGCCCTGGCTGTTCAGCGTACCGGCAATGCGTTCTGCAAGAGCGTGGCAGTGAAATACAATACCATCCCAAACCATGATACCGAGTGCAGGACAAAAAAAATGCTTTTTTAAAAAAATATTTAGTCTGTTCTCCCGTTATGTACCACTTGCAGGTGGCGCTACGATTGCTCGTGATATGCGACTGCGCTATAATGATATGATTTGCATATTTCATTGCCGCTTACGCATGATGTAAATTTCTCATGGTTTGCGTGCTTCCTTGAGGATGTAGCATTTTGTGTGGTCAGCAGTGAATATACACATATATATATATGAGTGTGTGTGTGTGTGTAATAAAAAATCGGAAATTAATACTTCATTTAGGCTGCTTTAAGTCTAAGGTACACTACATCAATCGCAGTTGTTAGATAGTGGTGGCGCCCTAGTCTCTCTGCAACCCATGAACAGATGTTTTCAACGTGTGAGAGATTCGGAGAAAGTGTTCACCAGTGTAATACTCAAACACCCTCTGTGTCGAGATTTGTCATAATACAACGTACACACAATTTTGCGTTATCTTATTCAACAATGACATTTCTGAGGTCACGGGGATAGGAAACGGTCCCCAACCTCAAAATCAGAAAAAAATAATGCATGCTATTCATATTACTTACGACGTGAAAAAAAGGTGTTTGTATCTTGTACCCAATGGTAACTCGTACCATCACACCAGGCGTAGGACTGTATAGAGTGTAAGCAAGTCATATACGATTTCTCCTCCATGCCTTCAATGCAGATACGTCCATCATGAGCCTGAAGGCTGAATTTGCACTCGTAAAAAAAGATGACGTGTTGCAACTCCTGTGTCTAGTTTTGACACTGGGTGCACAACTATCACCGCACTTCTCAACGCTGCGGTGTCAAGAAAATTTGCAATAATAGTGGGTGTGCTGAGAGTCCGTGTTTCCAAGTATCGTCGTTCTATCTATGTGGATACATGTCGTGCTGGAAACAAGCTTACTTCCTGACTCAAGGTCCGTGAGATGCCTGTACGATCATGCAAGGCTGATCTAACAACATTTCTGTCTTTTCAGGCGTTAGTGACAGTAGGTTGTTAAGATCCTGCATGGTCCTCCTTAATCCATCTTTCATATTCATATGAAAGTCGTTGGATTTTGATCAAGGCAAGTAGTAAAATCACGGAAGGATAAACCTCTCTCTTTATAGGCAACAATTCTGAATTAATCATGTGCTGTTAGCCGTTTCTTCTTATTATATGAAGAACATTACGATCTTATTACAAAAAACAACAACATTTAAATGAGATTTCGGAATGAAAGACCTGCGTTGCTTAACTTTCCTTTTTTTCGGAGATCCCTCTTTTGTTACATTCTATTGTATTGAAGTCCTAGCTATATATAAGGTGTTACAAACTTCAAGGGAAGGTAGGGACTACTTGGAATCACATAAGAATGCAGGATTGGAAACTCTTTCTGCGGATGCGGTAGAGGACATCGAATAGGCGCGAGTGTTTCCAACTTTCATTTCGCATTTTTTCCATATAAAACACAAGGAAAGAATTCAAATAGAAAAATAAATGTTATTACTTGTTGGACGCGCTGGAAATAATATGGATGCATGACATTGTTCTGTCCTCAATAGCCCTCGTCTTTCTTTAGAATGCGGCGTTAATAAACAACGAATCAATCAATCCGAATCTTTTGAACATCCACCGTGACTTCAAAAAACTACACTCAAGAGCCAAAACATTATGACCACCTGTCAATAACGAAATGGGGCCCACCTTTGGTGCGCAACACAGCTTCAATCCGCCTTGGCATGGATGCCACAAGTCCTTGGTAGATGGCCGGAGACAGATTGTACCAGTTGTTGAAGCGAAGGTCACGCAAATCCGAGAAATTTCGAATTGGTGGTTTTTGAACTCTGAGCTGCCGTTCCATGACATCCCAAATGTGTTCTATTGGATTGAGACCCGTTGAGTTAGGCGGCCAGGACATTACATGGAATTCAGCGTCATGTTCCTGGAACCACTCCAACACAATTTTAGCCTTATGACACGGGGCGTTGTCCTGTTGGAACATTCCATTTCCAGCTGGAAAAACAGAGGCCATGTAAGGGTGCAACTGGTCCGCAATGATGTTCAGATACCCTGTAACATTCATGGTCTGCTCTAAAACAACCACGGGTCCCAGGGACGCCCAAGAGAACGTCCCCCAAAGCATAATATCGCCACCACCGGCCTGTGTATGACCTACTGTACATTGAGGGAGAAACTGTTCACCTGGAAGACGGCGTAACCTGACACGGCCATCGGCATGATGAATGACAAACCATGATTCATCTGACCAGGCAACTTTCTCCCCCTGATCCATGGACCAGTCTCGATGTTCCCTGGCCCAGCTCAGGCGCAGTTGGCGATGACGCTTGGTCAGCAAAGGTCCACGAGTGGGACGTTTGCTGTGTAGCCCTATATCCAACAGTGTTCGCTGAACAGTGTGCTCCGATACTATTCTACTTGGCCCTGCATTGTATTAGGCTGTCAGCTGAGCCACCGTCTGGCTCCGGTTTTGTTTCACCATGCGAGACAGTCTCCGACGATCTTTTCCTTTGATAGCGTGTGGACGTCCAACACCATGTCGTCTACTGCTGTTTTCACCGTCATTCATCCACTTTGCATAAGTACTAACAACTGTAGATCGCGAACAACCCACGAGTCACTCAGTTTCGGAAATACTTGTTCCGAGCCTTCGAGCCATTACAATCTGCCCTCTATCAAAGTTGCTTAGATCCGCAGCCTTTCCCATCACACACAGAACTAAGTGAAAGAATGATTCTTCAGACTCTCCAGCAGCAGTTAAATACCACTTCCACGTTATCCAGGCGAGCTCATTACAAAATATTGGGGTGGTCATAATGTTTTGGCTCTTGAGTGTAGATGGGTGGTCGTTGATCATGACCTCCAACTGATGGCTGACCTTGTCGAGTCGTGGGGCCACTGAAGACTTTCCGTGTAGAGGGGGATGCACGTTCAATCTTTGAGGTAAAAATTCTGCAGGTTACTGAGGCGTAGGAGAGTGGAGTGTCAGAGTTCAAGTGTCCCTTGTTGTAAAATAAGAGATCCGAATAGTCCCCATGTTAAGGCATCGATAAGCAATCAATCAATGAGCCTTAAGTAGTAATAAATCAAAGTACGATCGAACGGGAAATAAATCTTCCTTCGAATATATGTTTCGGAAATTATTCAAGAATATAAAAATAATATAATTTTTTTTTCTTTAGTCAATTCCTACTTAGGTCAACAAAGAAACATTTAATTTTAATTAGTTTTTATTAAATAGTTACATTTATTATAAAATGTATATACATATGACAAATCACAATATTAAGTGATAAAATAGAAAGCGATTTTCCTTGCATTTTTTCCTTTTCCTTTCTATAAATGGTGTTGGATTATTTTTTTCGTTTGTTTCTATTTATTCACATTAATTAAATTTAATTATTCTAATAAAATAGTATAGTCAAAAAGAAATCACTTTCTCAGAAATTAGGCCATTTCAGGTGGGACTCGTACCCACGACCTTTGGATTAGAAGTCCAACGTGCTATCTTTTGCGTGCAAAGAACAATTTTTCTTTCTATATATATTGTTGGACTATATCTCTTGGTTTGTTACTATTTATTCATTTTTTAATTTAGTTAATGAAATAATACTTGAAAAAACTGTATTAACATTAAGTGCATCCCCCACAGGCTTAAAAATTATATTTGAACTTGAATGGATGAAAAGAAAGTATTTTATCAACGACTAAAAATTTGAACAAGATATATACATAAATAAATATATAAAGAGAGAGAAAGTGTGAACTAATAGTAGGAATTGAATAACATTGTTTTTCTGAAATATTTTTTTTGGGAACTAAAAGGCTCTTCCGTTCTTATTTGAAGTTATGTGGAAGAAATATTTGGAATTGCTGTTCCAAGCCTGTAAATCGCTGAAATTCTCGAGTAAAGCCTTTTACTTCATAGATTAATTATAATTCAGACGTTATTTACGTGCTTGTATTGATTATGTTTACCAAGCCTTATTTAAATTAGCAACTATAATATAAAAACAGCTATCAAACACAATTCAGTTTTTTGTAAGCATTTAATTGACTGTAAGCCACTTGAAGTTGTAAAATTTAACAAATTTATTTAATCCTCATGTGATTTTGCTATATTTAGATAATATTACGAAAAAAAAAGTATCACAACCTAATATTCTCCTAAATAAATTTTACACAACTGAAGCACATTGTTAAAAAAATACTACATATATCTTCGTCCATGCTTACCCATTTTACCAAACATACAAAAATAGTAATGTTTTATTTTAAAATACTAGTTTTGAGTCTAATGAAGTGTAATGATAAACATTTCAGAGATTACGCTAGATCAGAGGGGTGGTAGAATTTAGCCAGCGCATTATTCATATATCATCTAAGAATTGTAAAAAAGAAAATCTCTTCTTCTAAGCAACAACAAGAATAGGAAATGTACGAAAGAAAACCAAATAAATAAAGTATACTCAAACAGCTTTCGATGATCGGAAGCTTCGACTTGTTCATCAGCCTCATTTCGGTCTAGTCGGAGAACGAAGAGAGAATCTTTGAGTTTTACAAGTGCATGATATACAAAATGGTCACGGTCTTACTTGATACCTTGCATGCTACAGATGGACATTGGTATTATGCAAAAAGAAACGAATCCCAGCTTTCCTAATAAAAGCTTTTGAATACAGAGCCTATTCTAAAACATCCTGTTTTCTTCTACCTTGTAACGGAAATATTAAAAATGATATGGGAGATATCTTGTCACGGTTGGTTGTGGTTGAGAACGCAATAGTGATTGAGAAGCCTTTCCATTCGACTCGAAAGGATAACAACGGATCTTCTCAATCCTTCCCTTTGATTAACTTAAGCGTCCGAATTAAGTACGCGAGATACAGACAAGACAATAAATAATAAGAATTAACGGTTATTTATCTCCAATGAGATGCATCCTCTGAAACTCGCCCAACGAGAAATCCTGTAATCTATTCTAAAAAAAAGCGATTCTAATATTAAGGAATAAGCGACAATAATTGAGGCATTAGAGGGAGACAATATTGCCCCCATAATAATGATCTCACTGTGACTCGATGCTATTTAGTAGTGGCGTTCGCATTGGGAGCGGAGTTGTCAATTGGGCTGGATGGGAAAAATGGTTCCCATTCCTACAATCTTAATGGGGAAGCTTTTTTTTTTCAGAACATCAAATCTTTAGAGAGCTTAGGTGTTTAGATGTTGCAAACATAGTGTTTTCTTAACCATTCATGTTTGCATTTCATGCATAGGATTGTGTGCTTAGATTTATACGAAGTGGGACACACATAAAATGAGACGGGTCCAATAAATTATTTTATATACTTACTGAATCAGTTCTTCGTGACATTATCACTTTCAAAGTACGAGGGTTGTTTTTTAAGTAAGGTCTATTTGGTTTTTAAAAAAATAACGACAATATTTTGTTTCAAAAAACCTTTATTTTAGAATTGTTAATACTTTGGCCTATTTTTCTACACAGTTGTCGAGTTTATAAATGCACTTGTCATACCTTAGAACCAAGTTTTGAAAAACCTCTTCAAAGAAGTCTGCCGCTTGGTCGGGCAGCCAAGATTTCACGGCCGCTTTCTCTTCTTCGTTGTCACTGAAACTGTCAAGCCAGGTCTGTACTTGAGGTTCCGGAAAAGAAAGAAATTGCTGGGAACAAGGTTGTGGCTGTGTAGTGCAGGGTCCAAAACCTCCCAGCCAAAAGATTCGATTAATTCCCGAGTCATCCGAGAAGTGTGAGGTTCTCATCTTTAAACTTCCTGACCCATTTTCGAACTTTTCTGTCACTCATTGCTTCAGTGCCCTAAAATTCTGTTATCTGGCGATGAATGTCTGTAGCCGACATGTTTCTCGCAGTTAAAAAACGGATAACAGACCGAACTCCCACTTGGCGTGCGATTCAATCACCTTAAACATTTTAAAGACGCACATCAAACCCTACACGATTGCTACAGAGCTGAAAATGGCACGAGTGTGTTTGCAAAGTATGCGACCAGTGACACAGAGACTCGTTGCGGCGTACGCGCGAATTAGGGAATTATACGCGCCAACGGACCTTACTTCAAAATAGCCCTCATAGTTCCCTTCAGAATTCACACAATTCTGCATTCGATGCTGCCATTGCTGGTAACAGTTCTGGAACGAGGTTTTTGGAAGTCCCCTCAGGAGATTTTCCGTTTTTGCCTGAACCTCTTCAACTGAGGTAAAATGGATTCTCCTCAGCAAGATTTAACTCTAGAGGAAATAAAATAAAGTCGCATAAGGCCAAATCAGGTGAATAAGGAGGATACCCCATCACAATAATGTTTTTCCTGCTCAGAAATTGCTTGACAGATAGGACCATGTGCGTGGATGCATTTTCTTGGTGCAAAAGTCATCCCTCGTTACTCAATTCTGGCCTTTTCCCCCCAAGTTTTTCACGAAGTCTTTCTAGTACATCAATGTAGTAGTGTTGATTAACAGTCTGAACATTAATTTGAGTGGGAACCCATTCATATCACCAATTTTGGCTATGTTTTGGTCTTTAATCGCTGACCTTGGGCGTCCAACAGGTTCAAAATCTTTCACACTGACCCTTACCCTGAAAACCTCTTATACCATTCAAACACATGTGGCAAGCGGCAAAGTTTGATCTCCATAAGTATTGATTAATATTTGAAACGTTTTCGTGGCTGATTTCTAAAGTTTCACAAGAAACTTGATGTTGATTCTCGACATTTTCCCCGTACAACGCAGTTGCAAGTGTTCATTCAAGGACATAGTACTCCCAACTCGCGTGATCGATTAAAGCGAAACTGGCCACATGGATATAGATGTATGGGATGACGTCACCCAAACAGTTTTTGCCAAGCCCACTCTTTTTTCAAGCTACACAGTCTAGTTTTTTCGTGTGTCACACCTTGAATATATATATATATATATATATACACTCATGTCCATAAATTAAGGATAATGAAGTTCAGGCAAAGAAAGTGACAGAAGCAAAACAAATTTGACATATTTATAAAGTCTATTTATTAAACAAAAGGTAAAGAGCAAAAAAGATGCTATATGTTTGACATAATTATTAAAAATTGCGATTTTTACTCACTGGAGCAAATTTAAAAAAAGAACCTATTTACAAAAAACAGTATAACAGGGTTAGTATGATGGTTAATACGGAGTATGTCTCCCGGACGATGCAAAACAGGCATTACAACGTCTACGCATGCTGAGTATCAAATTATCAATCTGATATTGGGGAATATTACACCACTCATCAAGCAATGCCCTCCGAAGTTCCGGTAGACAGGTGGGAGGGGGTTGACGGGCTGCAATTCGTCGGCCAAGCATAGGCCTACATATGCTCTATTGGATTCAAGTCCGGTGAGTATGCTGGCCAATCCATACGGGTGATATCCTCCGATTGAAGGCATTCGTCTGCAATGTTTGCATGGTGAGGACGGGCATTGTCATCCATAAACAGAAATTCAGCACCCATGGCGCCACGAAACAAACGTACAGGTTGTTCCAGAATGACATCCTGATAAATGTGGCCTGTCATCGTTACACTCTGAACATGCAGGTCAGTTCTGTAACCAAGAATAATTCCTCCCCAAACGAGCCATCCTGCAACACCGTAACGATGTCGTTCAATGGTGTTCTCTTGGTGGTAACGGGTACCTGGCGCTCTCCATATGAAAGTCCGGCTAGAATCAGACTGCAAACTAAACCTAAATTCGTCGGAAAACATCACACAAGACCACTGTTGTGGTGTCCATAATGCATGCTCAGGTTAATAGCAGGCGACAGTGAGTTGCTGTAAGGGGAACTCACGTGACAGGCCTACGAGCATATAGACCAATGCGCCATAAGCGTTTGTACACGGTCTGCCTTGAAACTGTCGTACCGGTAGCTGAAGAGAGCTGACGAGATAGGTCTGATGCTGTGCTCCGTCTGTTTCTTTTGGCAGTAACTGCCAAATACCGGTCCTCATTTGGCGTTGTAATTCGGAGGTGACCTGTGCTGTACTATCTACTCACATTACCATCATCTTGGAATCGTTGCCAAAGCCTGGAGATGACACTCTGGGCGATTTCAAGTTCCTCGGATATTTCCAGCTGGGTACGTCCAGATTCCAGTCGTCCGATAATTCTACCACGTAAAAAATCATCCAAATGCTTTCTTTGTGCCATAACTATGCGGTTATTGGACTGAAAGGCTTTTAAAGCGCTTGTGAACAATTTGACTTCTTTGCCACCATTCCTTATATACCCCTTTATTACACTCTCGTCATTGTGACGTACTTTCCGCGCCATCTGTAATTTGCATATTCTTCTTCAAGATGTGTGTGACAATTCTACAGGGGAAATTTTTATTTTAGACTTCAATTTCTGTGTGATTCTGAATTATCCTTAATTTATGGACATGAGTGTATATATATACAGGGTGTTTCATAAATGATGGGAGTAACTTTAAGGGGTGATAGTACACATCAAGACGAGTAATAGTAAA